GCACACATGCACCAACGTGTATGCTCACCCAACGAGATCAAAGATGACATTATCATGTGTAAAATTACTTCAATTTCTAAAACACAGAAGTTTATAAAAGACAAATAAAAACAGAACATTACTCGATAAAATCTATTAATCAGATGCAACTCTCCTACATGTTTTTGTAAATCAAGGCAGTCATATCTTCGAACTAAAGCACAACTTGTGATTTACAGGCACCGTCACTTTTGCCATTACGGTTTAGAGCAATAATGTTGAGAGTCCCCGTTAGTTTTCTTTTTCATTGTTCTTACTGCAGAAACAATAGGATGTGATCTTCACAACAACTCAGTGCCGTATTTCCAAGGCACTATCAACTGATTATCTGATACATTGCATAATCGGTAGTTCGGTTAGCCAGGTGTGTAGTGGTTTAACTTGGGGTGATAGGAGTGGAGGGACGAGAGGTCAACTATTGACACCCTTACATTCTTACGTTGTGTTTTAATTTTTGTTTCCTTTCTTATTCGCCTAAGAAAAAAAACTTTAAAAAAGAGCCCAACTCATTCATGGCCATTTTTAAAGGAAATTATTTCACCCTTGTAATAATTCATTTCGTTCTGAAAGATAAAGGGGTGTCAAGAACAACATATATTAGAAAAAATACTCTAAGATGAAACAGAAGGGGAAACAAATCCGAGCAAAAATCTTATACTCTTTACTGAAGGCGCCCATGCACAAAGTGTCTGCGGTATCAAATAAGACCGGAACAAGACTACAGCAATAATAATAGCACTTTATAAAGAGCTACATTAAAGTATGATGAGCTCTTATCCAACTCGTCGAATCTGAAGGATCGATTCATATCTTAAGTAGGAGCATCTAGTATCCATTTCACAAAATGCTAGAAAAAATATAACATAACTTCTACAGGATGTGATTTCCTGAGCATTTTATTTCCAACGTTATATGCGAATCAGAACAGCCAAAGTAAGAGCTATGTGCAGCTGTAAATAGATCTATCTAAAAATATCATCTGGAAGGAAGAAAAAACACAAATCCACAATCATACAAGCTGAGGTTTAGCAATCACATTGCCAATAAAAACTACAATTGTTTATCCTTGAATGGATTTGACAGTGACGCAAGAAAATACAAACTCGGAAAAAAAGACTATTGACTTTTGACAGTGTTTTTGTGTTGTTGAAAAGAACTATTATTTTACTCAAGGAAATCTCTCTTAAAGGTCGTCTCCAGCCGCCATACAGATGCTACAAAAATCTGGGGGTCGTTTTACTGTGCACCCTTCTTTAAGCACCAGAACAAATGAGAGCGAGTGGCGCCAGGGTTTTGGGGGGTTCATAGCTTCCTGTCATTTCTCTGTTAGTGCCTGGAGCTATGTGATTTATCGGCCGACCCACGCAATCCAGCGTCTCACAGCGAGGCTTACCCAAGGGCAGGAGTCTGTGTCAAGTCGTCTGCAGAGATACCAATAGCAGACGTTATTTAAGCCTTAGACTCAGCAGTTGCAGTGTGTATGGAGTCTGGACATGGCTCGCGTTTACTAATACGTCGTACTTACTTTGTCTTTGTTTCCCCACGTGTGTTGTTATTCATCTGTGTCGAATCTTTTCACCTCTCTCTCTCTCTCTCT